TCTTTCCCTTCCTATACCTTTTCAAACAATGCTTGTTGGAGTAGAAAACGCCAGCAACTGCTGAAAATTATAATGGATTGCACTGTAGCTTTACCAGGAGTGGAACACAGAAAATTATGGTAGTTTCATGCTCACCAGAGGTAACTTCCCATTGCAGTAGTAAACTGATCATTTATGATAGGACCATCTGATTTTGATCTGTTTAGCACTTCTGAAGAAGATGAAAACTACTCATCTGTTAAAAAATGCTGTATATGCTATGGGGAAACTTGGGAACATCAGGCAGTAGAACATATCTCTAGGAGCCTGATCTTGAGATTTAGGAAGAAAGCAGAAACCAGATGGTGGAACAGGAAAGATTGTATGCCAGTAATGATATTCATTGGACTGCAGAAGTCTCTGCTCTGTAGCTAGAGGAATGTCCACTCTACAGAGTTATCAATCATGCAAAGCAATCACTGTCTGGGCAATGGGTATAGGACTAACATGTCTGAGTGATTTTCAAAGATAGGATTTAAACTTAAAAATGACTAACTGAAATTGTGCCAAATCTCAAGAACCAAACCAAATGATGACCAAACAGTTGGACTGAGGGCAAACATCAGATATTTCATCCCAAAAGATAATTTTTTCTCCCAAGAAAACCATAATCATGTGTAAATAAGCTTGTATAATACTGATAGTACTTCTTAACTTATCTCTGGTACCTCTCACTCAACCCCATTATAAAGTATGTTAAAATAAAAGGAAGGAATAACAGTTTTTTTAGGAAATTCAGAGTGATGGCTGATGCATCTGATCTGTTGTGCTTACTATTGCATTACACAGTGCAATATTTTTTATGACATTTCAATTTGCACAACTTAAAAAACAGAGTTAGAGAGTCTGTGCTGTGCTCTAGTCTTTATAGTGTGCCCTGAAGGACAATACATTCAGGCTATTGCAAGATGAGTGTGGTGGCAGGCATGAGTTTCAAACTAGAAGGCTTCTAGCAAAAGAACCCTTCCTCCTCTTTAATGGAAGCAGCTGGTCCCTGTGCATCTCAGCTAGTTACTAATGCAGCAATATTATGTGAGGAGAAAATCTGTCCTTCAAATTGGCAGATCTCATGCTGTTTGAGTCTTTCCAACTCAAAACTAACAATTTAAACTGCACCTGGAAACCAGCAGACAGCCAATGCATAAAAATCACAGCATATAAAATCATGTGCAGACGGAAAACTCCTGCTCTAGCAAGTCACAGCAGATTATGTTAAAAGTTAAAAAAGGATTTGTGACACTGATTCAAAATGTTATGCTTCTGGGGTCTAATTTAGGTCAACATTATTTGAGTGCAGGTTTGGAATAATTTTGTTGTGAATTATACAAGCCATGGAACAAAGAGTCAGATCATTTTTATTTTTTTTAACTTTACATGGAGTAATAACATAATGTGTTGCATTGTTTCCTAATTGACGGGGAGTTTTTCTTTTCCTTTTTTTTAGTTGATTGCAGCTTCAATAAGGGGGTTTGTAACTGGAAACAAGATACAGATGATGACTTTGACTGGAATCCTGCTGATCGAGATAATGGTATTTAAATGGCTATCCTATAGTTATGGTTGAAATTGATCGTTTCTCTTCCAAAAGCAAGACACTGACTGGAATCAGAGGTTGGAATTCCATCAAGTATCTAATTTTTTGGAAAACAAATCCTCATAAAAAGAAAAAAGAGGTGTCTCTTTTATTTCTTTTAAAATATGTCAATGGCAATGTAACAATTTATTATAACAGAATTGATCCCACAGATGAGAAGAAAGTGAAGAATATAAGAAATACAATGTACACAAGGCAACATGTACATTATTAGAGATATCTGCTGAGGCTTTCAGGACAGGTAGTGGATTCCCACTATTTTAAAATTATAGTCAGTTATATTTAATAAACAGGTCATTTTGGTAACAGATCAGAAATTCCAGATACTACAAATTAAAATGAACAACTAGTTGTTTACCTCTTACAGTAAAATGATGGGAGGATACTATTCAAGAACAAATAATGTATCATCTACTGTATTTTCTGCAGGTACAACATATACCCCAAAATTGGGGTGCATGTTTTAAGTGGGGAAATTGATTTTCTTCCCAGTATAGAAGCAGTTAGCCTGACCCACAGTTAGCCTGGTTTGATTCCTATTCCACAGTGCAGCAGCTGTGGGATTACTGTTCAGGCAGCTGAGGGAGTCAGTTGACTTAATGGCTCATTGTTCTTCATTCCAGAGGTGTTAATGACTGTCTCTCTTTTTTAATGGTCTTGATGTTCCACTAATCAAGCTAAACTTTCTAAGGACAATTGTGCTTTCTGCTAGCTGCTCCTGGTCTCTCTCTTCCTGTTTCACAACCTTGGAGAAACTTTAGCTCTTTTCAGAATCATAGATCCACACATGGAAACCAGTCTTCAGCAGCTGCCATGGCTGGAGCAGGGATAGGACAGGACAGGACAGGACAGGAAGGCTGTGTCTGTGTTCTGTGCAACCATAACACCAAAAAAAAATGTTTTTTCTATTCTGCCTTTCAAAAACAAGTTGTTTATTATATTTAAAGGTGTGCTGTATGTAAGAAAATATGGTATATCATCGTAAATATGATAAAACATGACAAAACACTCTAGGAGTGCTACATACTAATGCTGTTCTTATGTTTGTAAACAAAATGCATTAGCCAAAGCTGATTAGCTGTCTGTTAAGATGTAGACAGTATTACATGAGATTTTGCAGCTGGGCCCAGCAGATCACACTGATCTAATCATGCCACAGACAGATGTTCTGTTTGATATGCTACCACCAGTGAGGGTGCAGATATTCACACCCAATGAAGTGCTTCAGAAATGATGCTTGTAAAAAGGGAACATCTTTAAAATGCTTCCTTCACTCTCTGTGCTATCCAGTGGAGAACAATAGCGGGTTGTTGAGTCCTCCAGCATCCCACAGTGCTCTGCTCCCAACTCTCCACCCTCCCCTCAGAGGTGAAAGAGGAGAGTGAAGTGGACAGTCAATGGGAGTTCTCCTAGCTGACTTCAGGAAACTCTGGATCAGAGGCTTGCAGGGACTCCTGCTTCCCAGCCCCCTGACTGGAGAGTACTACTGCTGCATGCGTGTGTAGTCACTTTAGAGGACTCTGAAGCTGAGAGGTTACACATCTGCACAGAGCTGAAGTGCTCTGAATTTGAAGTGAGATTCAGAATGTTTCAAACAAATGTCTGTCCATACCCACAGACAGCTTCCCACACTCTTTACTCTGGACATTCTCTCTCTCTATCACTTTTAGGCCTATTTTTGCTCAGTTTTTCTTCATTCATACTTCATACTTTCCTCCTTCATCCTCACTCTCTTTCTCCAATGCCTTTATGTCCTTTTTCGCATCCTTTGTGTTTCTGTTTAGCTAATTCCCTCTCAACAACTCACCTGAAATTGTCATCCAAAACCTGGAACTAACCCGGCATTTGCTGACTGCCTATTCATTCTGCCCATTTGCCATATGGGCTTCCAAGGGAGGTGGTGCTCTCCCCTACCTTGGTAGTCTTTAAGAGAAGGCTGAATAGGCATCTGGCTGGAGTCATCTGACCCCAGCACTCTTTTCTGCCTAGGCAGGGAGTCAGACTTGATGATTTGTTGAGGTCCCTTCCGACCCTAGCATCTATGAATCTATAGTCCTTTCTTTTACCTTTTGTCTATCTTATCTGTATAGATTACAAGGATTCACATCAAGAAATTGTCAGTTACTCTGTTAGGTTTCTACATTGCAAAGAGCAGCGTTGTGTAGAAATACCATAGCTAGTGTTAAGCAAGTCAGCTTGGGAACTGGAAGTAACAGGTTGCTCCAGCAAGATGTTCCATCCAAACTAATTTACTCTGCCAAGAATCAGGGTTTTATATGGTTGACTTTCCAAGAAAGATTATGTACTGAATTGAGTATATATTTCCTATGAAATTTTTAAGAAAACAAATTTCAAGCTAGTACAAAGAACCACTGCAATTAAAGATGAAAAATTGCATCTAATCAATCCTCCATCAGGGCAAGACAGTATTCATCATTCCCTTTTTCTAGTTTTGTTTTAAATAATTTAAGTAATGAAGCTTCCACTTATTTTCTTAGCAAACTAGCACTGAGTTTACTAAAAAAATATTTCTCATAAAGCACCCATACACATGAAGATGTCTTGTCCTCTTCCATTACAAGGTGAAGGATACTATATGGCAATTCCAGCTTTTGTGGGGCAGAAGAAGGATGTTGGCCGTTTGAAACTTCTCCTCAGTAACCTCAAGCCAAGGAGCAGCTACTGTTTGATTTTCAACTATAGACTTGCTGGAGAGAGAGTGGGGAAACTTCGAGTTTTTCTGGACAGCCACAGAAGTACTCCTGTCTGGGAGCTGAGCAGAGGAAAAGATAAAAGGTGGAGGACTGGAAAAATAGAAGTACTTCAGGGGGTTGAAACCACTAAGAGTGTAAGTAAAAGTGGAAACCGATTACCATAACTAGCACAACAGCTGACATTTCCTGAGCCTTAAGCATTTTCTAAACTGTTTTATGAGTATTAATAGTATACAACTAAAAGCCTTTCATTGTGGTGAGAAATGGGGGCCCAACATTACCAAAAATTTCTAGGGGGCAAAGAAAAAGGAGTTTCCTGTTGAAACTCCAGTGGATATTTAGCTAGACAGAATGTATTTACCCGAGTTGGCCAAGAGATTGAGTATAAAAACCCTTCCATTTTGTGAAATATCCAATCTTTAAGGATCACAACTTGTTGAACCGCTGTTTTGACTCAGGCAAAAAAACCCCCAAAAACCTAAATACATGCACAGAAGGAGAAGAATAGTCCCTCTACCACTATCACTTTTAAAGAGTATCACATAGGCTTTGAGGGGTTTAGGTTGTAGCCGTGTTAGTCTAAGGACATAGGCAGACAAGGTTCTTTGGGTGACAAAGGATTTTTGAACCCGAAAGCTTGCTTAATAACTTTTCTCCAACTATTTGAGTTGGTCTACACATGCAAGGACTTGGCACTAAAGTTAGTGCACTTGACACTAAAGGGCATCTGTACACATGCTTGTGCCACAGCACTGTTTTTAAAAGCACCTGGCACTGCAGTGCATACACTTGTATAAGTAGCAAAATGCATGTCAGTGGTGAGAAAATGGCAGTGGTGTTTTTTTGTTCAAAAGTGCACCACCACCATTTTCTGTGTGCTGACGCACATTTTGCTGCTTATACAACTGTAGTTCACTGCATGTCAGCTCACTGCAACCCACCAGATCTCCGATGCATTACAGGCTGAAAAGGTATAAATGCCCAAAGTTAGTGCACACGCTAATACGCATTAAATTAGGTTAATGCACATTAACACATCTCATGTGGATATGCCCATAAAGGAGGGTATTTTTTGACATAGAGATGACATTTTGTTTGTATTATGACAATAATTATGTAAATCAGTTTGGCTTAGATTTGTGTAGAGGCTCATCAGTCGTTTTTAAATACTATACATTTAAATATTGTAAATTATAAAAAGTTATAGTTTAAAATGTATAGTTTAAATATAGTTTAAATAAAACTTACAGTTTAAATACTATAAATTATAAAAAGTTCAAAGATTCAAGTTGGTAGTCTTACTATATTGGGATAAAAATTAAACCTTTCTGTAGATATAGCATCTAATTTGACATTAATAGATGTTAAATTTTCAAATTTACTACTTTTTCAGAATTTGTATTTCTTCTTTCTCAGGTCATTTTTGAATCAGAACGTGGGAAGGGCAAAACTGGGGAAATTGGAGTGGACAATGTTATATTGATTTCCGGCCTATGCCCTGAAGATGAACTGACAACTATCTGAGCTTGTTTTTGTACCTATGTTTATATTTGCTTTACAAAGTACTGTATTTTGTTACTTCCTGATCTAGATAAAAAATCTGTAAAGTATGGTGTTTAATGTGATGCAACAATGCAAACAGAAAAGCTGGCCTGCACAAAGTGCTCTGTATCCCTTTGGGTACACATTTTTATATGATATATACTAATACAAACTTTGAATGTAGCACTACTGTATTTTATAATGTAAGGTCAGGGTTTATAAAGTGTGGAGATGTTTCTCTGACTTTTCTACAGTACATGTGATTTTATTTAAATACAATTCTTTTTTAGGGTGTTTCAGTATCCAGACTACTTTTTTTTTTTTTTACTACAGAGGACACAAAGCAGTATTTAAGAGAATTTGAGTACCTCTAATGACACTTAAGTGAGCCCATGACATAGCTATCTAGAACCATTTTTTCCAAAGTGCCTTATCCTGATTATTAGCAATATAATATTTTTATCTTGAAACTGTAACATTTATGTTAAAAAAAGATGTTTCTAAGGTGCTCAGTGGGCCTGATTCTTCATTTTGTTTTGTGTAGTGCTTATCTTTGTAAAGAACGTGTGTAAAACCTACAATTTTTACACATGCCTTTCTAGTCACTCTACACTATGAATGCCTACACAGTGTAAAACAGTGAAGAAATCAAGCTCAGTACATTCTTCAAGTGAAGTAATATGTATTGTGACTCCATATTTAAAAAATGTGAAGTCTGACATTTATCTGTTTAGGAATGAGGTAACCTGTTCACTCCTCCATCTGCATGTTTATTTGCCATTAAATTGATGGGCATTAACTTAAACATGGAAGAACGAATGCATCTGACTTGCTAGACTAAACAGATGTTAATGTGTAGATAGCAAAAGTGCTCAACAATAAGCAGCAAGCAATTGCTCCTTTAATGGAGGGAAAAATGTTTTCAAGTAGTATCATTTCTTTCACATGTATAGTCATTGCTAATAAAATATGAAAAAGTCCACTAGGGTTAAGAGATGTCTGTGTCACAGTTGTTATTATCTAAATGATCCTAGTGTATAAACAACTATGTGTATCTTAAAAGGAAGAAAAAGGAATGCCAGATGTTACAATGACAGTAACAAGAAAAACATTATTAGGAACAAAAGAAGACCTGCCACTGATGTGCAAGAAACCTGATGGAAAAACTAATAAATATCCACTTTCTTTGCGATAAACTCTTATTCTCTGCTCTTTAAAATGATTTCCCTTTAATCCATATGTTCCCACTCCACAGCCCTAAACTCTTAAGTTATATGTAAGGATGTGCAAGACAATGGGTTTCAGGTTTGGTCTTTCAACTGATTCTGCAGTTCCTGTGAAAACTGTTGGGGTATGTTTATAAAGGTGTTTGCCTTTTTATATACATATATTCTTAGTTTCTGTAATACTTTCTCAGGGTTTCAATTATCTATATCCACTTTTAAGCACCAACTGAAGTCAAACTGTTTTAGAAGGACTACACTTGATCTGAGCTGACAAGAGGCTACTACAGTTACTTGGATATCGGGATGCACACAATTAGTTAATTTTTTCTTCTTGTAGGTAACTAGCTTTAAGTTGCACTCTCTTCTCCACTGATGAAGCATTCTTTAGATACTTAATAAGAGACAGAAATATAAGGAGGAAAATATAAGTACTAGTTAAATGTTTACAGTCATTCCAGGGATGTATGTGGTAGCCGTGTTGGTCTGAGACAAAAAGAAATGCAAAAATCTAGAACTCTTGGTTCCAAAATAATACCTGTTATTAGACCAACTGAGAAATTGCAAAAAAATGCATTTCTTACTGTTATTCCAGAAACTTTTTACATGTTGATAACATGCAAATAAGCAGAGGTTGAGTTTGTCTAACAATATCATAGATTCACAAGCAGCACAAGAAAAATTTTTACAACCTCAGTGAAGGTTCTCATTAATAAATTAGTGGGTAAGCACCTACTTGCTTAGTTTCTTTAGGCTGTTATGTAAAAACACTGGTCCTAACCATTAAATTACAACTGAAAAATGATCTTTGCCAAAGGTTATAGGTTCAGAACTATTTGATTTAGGCCTGTTATTTATTTAACTTGGTAATAGGCTCAGTAATGCTTTCTTATTATCTGTAACATTAATTTTAATCTTTTCCCTAACCTGAGCCTTTGTTCAACCTTCTGGTAACTGTAAACCAAACTATAAACCTTCTCATAATATACCAACTATACCAATCAAGACAACTATTTTTAAGAAGAACTAGTCTGAACACGATGAAAAACAGAACATATTGCAACTGCACACACAAAGCAATTCTGGGGTCTTACTCATGCCTGCCACAGAAAATAAATATTATTAATACAGTTCACACCTGGGCCAGACAGTTTAGAAAAGGTTTACTTTGTTCTTTTATAGCAAGGGATAGAATAACAAACCGTTTTCTAGATCCATCTAAAATTGTCTGGCTACAGTTCTACAGTACAGTAGGTGTGACATATGACAGTAAATACTTAAATGTGCACAGTTATGTCAGTGATCAGCTAACATAGAAATGACATGAAAGATTTATTTGGTCACAAATGTAGCAGTAACTCAAAATTAATCTAGGGAAATTCAGAGCATGATCTAACTCTCATTGATGTTCAAATGATTTCAGTGAATGATGGGATCCAGTCTGAAAGCATAAAATTTATTGTTTTCTGAATGCAATGCCTCTAAGCTATCTACAAAAGTGGAGTATGGAGGGATAGGCCAAACCTTGGATTTTTCACATTGTCTAAAAATGAAACTTGTGTCTGACTGTTATACATATCATTAAGGATGACTGAATAAGCAAAGATAAGTGTCTCCTGCACTTTGGTCCTTATTTGATTCCAATACAATATACTCCCTAGTGCTAGGAATCTTTCATTTTTTCCTAACCTGTCTGTACAAATGTAATGAGTCTTTTTATGAACTAGATCAGGGGTAGGCAACATTTTAGGCCGGTGTGCCGAAAAAACCACAATGTCTACCTTGTAAGGTCCCGGGATGCTAGCATGCCCAAAAAACAAAACTGAGGTGGGGGATACATGTCATGATGCACTGCATATTAATATAGTTAATAATCGTAAATGCTCCTTTTTTTTTTTTTACAGTAAATACCAGCTTTTCTAAAAATTCTAAACCTGGTAACAATAAATAAAACTGCATATGCTACCTTTGCTGTTGTGTATTCTTTTTTCGTTAAGCATGTAGTGATGAGAGAGAGAAAAAAAAAGAGAGAAAGAGGAAAAGAGAAAGAGAAGAGAGGAAAAGAAAGGGAAGAGAGAGAAAAGAGAGAAAAAAGGAAAGAAAGAGAGAGAACCAGACACACATGTGCAAACAGAGAACCAGACGTGCACACACACAGAACCACACGTGCAAACAGAGAACCAGACACACCTGTAAGCATACATGCAGAACAGACACATGCACACCCACAGGCCCAGAACCAGACACATGTGTATGCAAGCACACACACAAAACCAGACACACACATGCAGAAGCACACAGAACCAGACACACAGACGCATATGCATACACACAGATGCATACAGCCACAGACACGCGCACACATGTGGCTGGGCTGCAGGATAGAGTCCAACCTGACAATGCCCCAGGGCCACCACAGGCACTGTGCTTCCCCAGGAAACCAGCGCCCAGGCTGCAGGGCAGCCTGCTGAGGTCCCAGCCCAGAGCCTGCCCATCAGTCAGCTGCAGGGGTGGTGCTGGGGAAGCTATGGCCACCCCAAAATTCACCTTAGCCCCCCCTGTAACCACCTCTTCCTGGATGGCCGGGGCTGTGGAGCCCCAGCACCAGCTCCACACTGCATGCGTGCCTTGGGGTGCAAGGTGGCTCCTCCACTGCCATCTGCCTAAAGGGGTGTGCAGCATAGCCCCCCCAAAATTTGCCATAGCCTCTCCCCATAGCCACCCCTCAAGCACCGCTGCTGCCCACCCACCCTGTGCAGCTGAGCATGCCTGCTCCCACCCTCAGCGCAGCCCTCTTTCCCCCTTCCTCTGGGAAGAGGCTGGTGCCCCCCCAGGGACTGGGTATCTGCTGCCAGCCACGAAGCTTGTGCTGCTCTCAATAGGGCTTGCAGCCTCCCAGCTGCCTACTGGGAGGAGCCCAGGCTCTGGCTAGAAGCAGCTGCCCAGAACCCAGACTGGCCATGGTGTGCGGTGCAAAATGGCCTTGCTTGCCATGCTTTGGCACACATGCCGGGGGTTGCCAAACCCTGAACCAGATCCTACATCTGGATTATAAATAGATTTGGTTTCTTCTGGGAAAAATAAAAGCAATTTAAGATCATTTTGAAAAGATTAATCCCCCAAATTGAAGGTACTATAGCAGATGCCTCTTCAGGAAGAACTGAGTAAGGCACTGGGCAATGAAAGAAATATAACAGCATGGAACTCTTTCTCTTTAGGGCATTTTTAAAAAATTTCTTTTCATAGCCTGCTGGCCCTGAATTCCTCTCTTAAAGAATCACCAATACCTTACTTAAAAATAAATCTGCTATCCATGAGCTTGACTTCTATTCAGTTAAACATAAAAAAGAAGTTCATTCCCATTACACTCCTCTAAAACCAAGAGTTTAAGATGGACCAATTGAAAAAAAAGACTTATAAAAACATGTATTTAGAGTGCAGAGTGACAAGCAACAAAGCAAAGTGCAAGCAGGACTGTGATAGCAAAGAAGTTATGCAGAACCTCTGTTAGAAATAAGGTGTCAGAGTAACCACAGTTTCTTAGAAAGCAAGAAGGAAGTGGAACATAAATTCCAAAATCCCATATAGAATACCAAATACATTGCTCTGGCATAGGATCACTCATGGACCAGTTTCATGGGTGCCCTGCTAATATGGACATGTTGAATTTCAGGAGTATGAGCCGACAGGCACAGAATGGAGGAAGGAACTTCCAGAGTCAATTCCAAGGTGCATTGTCTGCTCCTGGTTTTTTTATGC